CTAAAAACCGAGTTTAGCGCGAGAAACACAATCAGACACATCAGCAGATCATCAATGTGTGGATCACTTCTAATCTTCATACACAGTAACACAGTAAGAAGGACGAAGCTGAAGTCGGCTTCCTGTTCGAGTCTAGCACTTGTAGCCAGCTAGTCTAGCATTTCCTGCATGGCGTATGCTGATCTCAGCGTCTCTGTCTGTCCAGAACTGGAGCTGCCCAGGGGTGAGTTTAGGGGATACTGGCCTGCAGACACAGGGCTGTTTTCTGTAGTCACAGAAGAAAGTTTACCAGCTTCACTCTCCACAGGAGCTACTGTATGGTTTTCGAAGTTACTCAGTCAATACCAGTTTAATCACCGTAGTTTATTACAGTACAGCAGTTATTATGGTCATAATACAGGATCTGGATCTGCTGTGATGCAGAAAATACAGCACAAGCTTCTTATATTGTTATGAAAAGATGTTATAACATGTTATAATGTGTAACGAAATCTGACATTATAAAGTCACGTGCTACGCATGTCTCTACAACCACTTATAAGCTATTAAGCTTGTAACAGGAATGATGAGTTATGTATGCCATATAACACATTATGAATGCATTTATAAAGCGTTATGAATACAGGATTCAGAGGAAGTGTTAATGAAAATCATATTTCTGTTTATTTCAGTTACATAAAGGATGATTATGATGTTAATGATGTCACTTGTTAAATTATATCACTTTTATCTGTTGCACTGTTTAAATGGAGACTTACTGTCCCAGTTAAAAAATACCTTTAGAACCTGATGGTTTTGCTTTCTAATGGAAACTGGCTTAATGGTCACCATTAGAGACCACTAGTTTCCTGTAGAACACCTTCTAATGCTTCTGGAATCAGATCACCTGTTAAACCATTAGGATCCTTTACACTGTAATATCAACCAATCAGGAAAACACAGAACACCATTACAGACTACTGGACAGCAGCAGGAACCAGCAGAACATAATGGGTTCTATGATTTTCAGCAGGGTTCTTCATCTCTGAAGAGGCTGACAAATTCAAAACTTTCCACGGGGTGCACTTACTTTTTCACACTACGGTATATCTAGTAATCAAGCGTAATAAAGTGATTAAACTGTGTTTGTGTTACATTAACGTTATTAAGGCGCTACTAATAGATCAGAAACATCTGAGCAGAGTGTGTAGCGCGGCGCCCCCACGCGGCCACACGCACGCACACACACACACACACACACACACACACACACACAGTTCAGAGTGGATGAGCTCACTGATCGCTGTTCGAATCAGAGATTTTCAGACAATAACACAAAAATAAACACTGCAAAGACGCTAAAACGGAGCTAACATGGCCTCTTATTTGAATTCGCCCGTTCCACCTTAAATGGCTTACATTGGCTTTTTATTCCAATTCGTCCGCTCCGCCTTAAATAGTGCGGCACTTGCAGCAACTGCTGAACCATTTAAGGTGGAGCGGACAAATTCGAATAAGGGGTCAATGCAAGCCATTTAAGGTGGTACCAACTAAAGCGATTAAGCAGCCGGTTTCAGCCGTGTGCGCGCGTGTGTGTGTGAGTGTGTGTGTTCGTTCCTGTCTGTCTGCCTGTCTGTCTGTTCTGCATCTGAACGTTAACAGTTTAAACCTAATTCTGATCCGGAAATGAGGCCGAAAATCATAATAATGCTGTAAAATGTCACCGAGCGTCAGTCGGACTGAGCGCTGAGCAGCAGCTCTGAGAGAAACGCACACAAACACAGACGAACCGCAGACGAGCATCTGCTGACCGTCACAACAGCAGCTTCACCTCCTTCACCTCCTTCATCCCCATCTCCTCCGCGTCTCTCCGAGGCTGAGTCAGGTGCTCCTACCTGTCTGGGGATCTGATCTCCGTCCCTGTCCTCCTTCAGGGCTTTGGGCGGAGGCTGGAAGCGGATTTTCCCCATGATGGCGATGATGAAGATGAAGGTGATGACAGTAGAGCCCAGAGAGAACTGACAGCTGCGAACACCAGAGGGCGCCAAAATGAAGGGGAGTGAATGGAGCCAAACGGATAAAAACATCATTTAACTTATTTATAATCATTAATTTCCTTCAGTTTCGGAAATAAAGAATTTTATTTTAAAACGTGAAAAATATCAGTATTGTTGGCAGCAGGACGCATTACTGATACTGAGAGCTGATTGGTTAACGTTACTGATACTGAGAGCTGGTTGGTTAGCATTACTGCTACTGAGAGCTGATTGGTTAGCATTACTGCTACTAAGTGCTGATTGGTTAGCGTTACTGCTACTGAGAGCTGATGGGTTAGCATTACTGATACTGAGTGCTGATTGGTTAGTATTACTGCTACTGAGAGCTGGCTGGTTAGCATTACTGCTACTGAGAGCTGATTGGTTAGCATTACTGCTACTGAGTGCTGATTGGTTAGCGTTACTGCTACTGAGAGCTGATGGGTTAGCATTACTGATACTGAGTGCTGATTGGTTAGCGTTACTGCTACTGAGAGCTGACTGGTTAGCGTTACTGCTACTGAGAGCTGATTGGTTAGCGTTACTGCTACTGAGAGCGGATTGGTTAGCATTACTGCTAAGTGCTGACTGGTTAGCGTTACTGCTACTGAGAGCTGGTTGGTTAGCATTACTGCTACTGAGAGCTGACTGGTTAGCGTTACTGCTACTGAGAGCTGATTGGTTAGCATTACTGCTACTGAGAGCTGACTGGTTAGCGTTACTGATACTGAGTGCTGATTGGTTAGCGTTACTGCTACTGAGAGCTGACTGGTTAGCGTTACTGATACTGAGTGCTGATTGGTTAGCGTTACTGCTACTGAGAGCTGATTGGTTAGCGTTACTGATACTGAGTGCTGATTGGTTAGCGTTACTGCTACTGAGAGCTGACTGGTTAGCGTTACTGATATTGAGTGCTGATTGGTTAGCGTTACTGCTACTGAGAGCTGACTGGTTAGCGTTACTGCTACTGAGAGCTGATTGGTTAGCGTTACTGCTACTAAGTGCTGATTGGTTAGCGTTACTGCTACTGAGAGCTGGCTGGTTAGCATTACTGCTACTGAGAGCTGATTGGTTAGTGTTACTGATACTGAGTGCTGATTGGTTAGCATTACTGCTACTGAGAGCTGATTGGTTAGCATTACTGATACTGAGTTCTGATTGGTTAGCATTACTGCTACTGAGAGCTGATGGGTTAGCATTACTGATACTGAGTGCTGATTGGTTAGCATTACTGCTACTGAGAGCTGGCTGTTTAGCATTACTGCTACTGAGAGCTGATTGGTTAGCATTACTGCTACTGAGAGCTGATTGGTTAGCATTACTTCTACTAAGTGCTGATTGGTTAGCGTTACTGCTACTGAGAGCTGATTGGTTAGTGTTACTGCTACTGAGAGCTGATGGGTTAGCGTTACTGATACTGAGTGCTGATTGGTTAGCGTTACTGCTACTGAGAGCTGATGGGTTAGCGTTACTGCTACTGAGAGCTGATTGGTTGGCATTACTGCTACTGAGAGCTGATTGGTTGGCATTACTGATACTGAGTGCTGATTGGTTAGCGTTACTGCTACTGAGGGCTGATTGGTCTGCATTACTGATACTGAGAGCTGATTGGTCTGCATTACTGATACTGAGAGCTGATTGGTCTGCATTACTGATACCCGTTGGACTAAGTTCTGCACCCTCTCTAGTGTCTGATCCCAGAACAATCCTGAAAAATTACTCAAATTAAAATTTCCAGAAAGCAGAGAGAAAAACTCTGAGCTCTATTTGTAATACACGCTAATTTCCACTATCACTCTGATGTTTTAACACAGAACCTTGAATTCAGTATAATTTAGTACTTTAAAGGTGTTAATAACGAGTTCAGCGACGCTGAGCTCTGATAAACACAGCAACACAACGTACCTTCAGTTCTTATCAAACAGGATCATATTCACGCCTGAATAATCACGTTTTATACGGTTCACGTCTGAAACACGAGCTTCCTGTGAAGAAGATATGAAATATCATCAGAACACTGATATGAGTTATTAATACTTTCCTGAATCATCATCAGCAGCAGAAAGCTGGTCTGATTATGGCAGCTGATTATATTACAGCCAATCTGCAGAGAAAGATGAGAATTACGCTATTTACGTAAAAACAGAGCGAATATTTTTCATCTCAGCACTTTTCTATCAGTCGTTCCGTTTAATCAGATTAAATCCACCAGCAGAAACACTGAGTTCAGTTCAGTCGGCACAGAAACGGAGTTACATTCAGCACAAACACACAACAGAATAACACCATACAACACACACACCACACACACACACACACCACATACACACACACACAACACAAACAAACACACACACACACACCACACACACACACACCACATACACACACACAACACAAACACACACACACAACACACACACATACACACACACACACACAACACACACCACATACACACACAACACACACATACACACCAAACACATACACATTGTGCGCACACACACACACACACACACACATCACACCCCACACACACACACACACCACACACACACACACCACATACACACACACACAACACAAACAAACACACACACACACACCACATACACACACACAACACACACACACACACACACAACACACACACACACACCACACACACACACACACACACCACATACACACACACACAACACAAACACACACACAACACACACACACACACACACACACAACACACACACACACACACACACATACACACCAAACACATACACATTGCGCACACACACACACACACACACACACACCACACACACACCACACACACAACACATCACACCACACACACACACACAAACACAGTCACAACACACAACATAAACAACACAACACACACAGTCATGGCGACCCCTGGTTCCTATCACCACCACTGTAAAGTCATCTGGACCATTTCACACCAAACTCTGAATCTCTCTGATTACAGCTCACACACTGAATTATGGGGGAATTTAGGAGAATTGGTGGAATTGTACAATTCTGAGAACATTGATTACTTTAGTCTGAAAATCAGATCTGAGTTAATGTGAGTCCTGAACGTCGTGCTGATGAACCGACAGCAGAGACTGTAAAAGTCATTTTGGCTGAAACTGTGAAACAGTAACAGCACCACCAACACCAACAATCAACACAACAAACACCGACACTAAAGAGCTGAGATACTTAGGAGGTTTTTTAGAATATGGTTAATTATTATTGTGATATAAATGTAAACAGGCTGTTTTCTGTTTGGATTATTTGTGTTTATGTTGAGCGATTCTGCTGAAACAGAGAAAAAAACAGACAGGAGATTCACTCAGCAGGATTTCTGTCTTTAAAACAAATTAAACGTTTTTCAGAAGCATTTTAGTAACTAATAACCTTTAGATCATATCTGTACATGAAACACCATCAGAATATCTACAGTACAAGGCAAAAACAAACAAACGTAACTAACGTAAACAAACAGAAGCCTCTTTCACACATGCACCGGAATTGGACAGGAACAGGAAATTAACAGGAATTTAACAGGAAGGGGTTCAGCCTGAACGCAAGCTGTAAAGCTCAAGCAGTAATTTAAACCGTTACAGAGTTGACAAAAGCTGCTACGTTACCGAAAATACAGTAACATACAGATCACAGCCAGCAAAGCTGAACGCTTCAGGGATTATTTTTGTAGCTTTTTTTAGTTTATATTTACAGTTTATAAACTGCAGCGTGTCTTACAGTTTAATGATGTTACAGACGGAGGTGAGAGAGCGCAAGAGAGAGAGAGAGAGAGAGAGAGAGAGAGAGAGAGAACAGTCCCGGGATGAAGTTATTCTTGTACACGATTCAGAAATGAACTGTTTGCCGCTTAAGCTGAGAACGTGACTTCCTGTTTAAGTGGATTTTAATAGCGTGTGAACAACGTAAGGCCCGAATGTTACCGGCTTAAAAGAGTCCCGATAATGAGCCTCGTTCACCAACTGTTCTTAAGAAGAAATTCCTTCTTAAACCCACTTACGCAGTTTTGACGAAGACTCTGACTCACCAGTGTTCTCTTATTTGTTCTTAGGTAAGAACAGAATCTACACACACTCAAGAGCACAAAGGAGAGAACAGTTCTGCGCTTTAAGAACACGACATGAATCCGACATAGACTTTTTCTTAGAACCTTTCTCAAAAACACACTTAAGAACAAACTTAGGAGGATATTGGAGAACGAGGCCCAGCGTCCCGGTTTTACAGTGTGAAAGAGGTTCAGTCACATTTTACCCAGAATTCTCTCACACACACACTCACGCACACAATCCTCTACCAGCACACAAGTGTGTGTGTGTGTGTTACATGTTTATGTGCAATAGAAGCAGCAGCATCTCATCACTGTTCACTAATTTAGAATAAAACAAAAAGTAGTCAATCATCATCATCATCATCGTCGTCGTAACCGTCATCTTCATCCTCCTCCGTTCAGCACATGCGTATAAAACACTGACACGTTAAACTTGCAGAACACTCGGTGTACGAAGCGCTCGTGATCCTACACACACGCCGTGTCTGACAGGTTCCTGTAAATGTCGTGCAGATGTTGTTGATGAACATCGTGCAGATGTGTGTGTGTGTGTGTGTTCAGGCGTCCTGTGTGCCGGGCCGGCGCAGCTCGCGGATCTGTTTGATTAAGTAGGTCTTTTCATCGTTAAACTGCTCGTCCTCGGTGCGATCGTTCTGGAACTTGCTCAGGAACTCGATTAGTTTGGTCTGATTCTTCAGCAGGATATCCAGGATGGGCTGAGTTTTATTCGGATTGGCCACAAACACCTGAAAAAATGACAAAAAACAAACATTGCATTACAGAGTGTGTACTGGGTACATTTAAAGGTTGTGTGTGTCTCCATAATATGCATGTACACATAGTGTGTGTGTGTGTAATGTATATGTGTGTATAGTTGTGGGTGTGGTGTGTATGTGTGTATAGTTGTGTGTGTGGTGTGTATGTGTGTATAGTTGTGTGTGTAGTGTGTATGTGTGTATAGTTGTGTGTGTGGTGTGTATGTGTGTATAGTTGTGTGTGTATGTGTGTATGTGTATGTGTGTATAGTTGTGTGTGTATGTGTGTATAGTTGTGTGTGTGGTGTGTATGTGTGTATAGTTGTGTGTGTATGTGTGTATGTGTGTATAGTTGTGTGTGTATGTGTGTATGTGTGTATAGTTGTGTGTGTGGTGTGTATAGTTGTGTGTGTGGTGTGTATAGTTGTGTGTGTATGTGTGTATAGTTGTTTGCACCTTGAAGACGTGAAAAGCTTCGAACTGGATGTTTCGGCTTTTGTCTCTCAGCAGGTTCATCATCAGTTTGAGGTTTTCTGGTTTGCTGATGTATTTGGTCATTATGGTAAAGTTGTGTCGGTCCAGCAGGAGCTCGCCCAGCAGCTGAGAGAGAGAGAGAGAGAAAGAGAGAGACAGAGAGAGAGAGAGACAGAGAGAGAGACAGAGAGAGAGAGAGACTCAGGAAAACGTCCTTCACATGTCCTTATTAAAGAAGGCCGAGAGGAAGACGTTGTGTTCTGAGACGCTGGACGTCCGTCCCACCGCCGTCTTTTAAAGACCAGAGCATAAACTTCGTCTCCTCTGCAGACCAGTTTCTGCTCCGCCATGTTGAACGGTATAAACTCTCACTGTGACGTGACGAACATGATCAGAACGGACTTAAACTTTCAGATAGGGAATGTAATCAGATACAACTGTATTCCAAATGGCCTCAATCAGACTAGTCTATTCCGATTGAGCTATTAGTCGGATTATTAGCGGATTATTAGGATGCATGTAAACGTGGCTAATGGTACTACAATGACATCTTTAAAATTAACCACTCATGACTGTGTAATCCTAAAATGCCCCTCACCTTCAAAACAACAGACACCTTCATGAAACCTCAAACATCCTGTAGAACACCTCAAACACACACACACACACACACACACACACACACACACACTCCTACCTTCAGCGACTGTCTCTTGGTCACGTAGTTCTCTGAATGCAGAAGCTTCTCGTATTCGGTGAAGAACTTCAAAGACACAGAGAGAAAAAGAGGATTATTACTAATTTAGATTATTTATCATCTTCTCAGAATAAAACGCTTAATTAACGTTTCAGCCTGAAGGAACCAAAAACCCCCAGAGAGTTTCAGATCAGTGATGAGGGAGCGTTTCATTTCCAATCAGCTCCACATCATCATCTACCATCAGAACATCTGCTCTCCACAGATAAACCGTCACACTCACACTGAGAAACACTGCAGACACTCTGACACTTTATTCACCGACTTTTACCAACATCACTAAAACTACCAATAAACAGAGACTAAAACATTCTACAACACACACACACACACACACACACACTACTCTGAGTGAAATACGTTTACTGTATTTAAAGCTATTAGTGTTGTGTATGTGATAGTTCGTGATATTTAATTGTATTATAATTCCATTTTGTGGTATTTAATGTGTTTATTAAAGTGTTTATTAAAGTGTTAAAGGTATTTATTCAGGTGTTTAATGTGTTTACTGTAGTGCTTAAGATGTTGAATGTGTTTATGAAAGAGTTTAATGTGTTTATTAAGGTGTTTAATGAATTTAAGGTGTTTATTAAATTGTTTATTAAAGTATTAAAGGTATTTATTCAGGTGTTTAATGTGTTTACTGTAGTGCTTAAGATGCTGAATGTGTTTATGAAAGAGTTTAATGTGTTTAAAGTGTTTGTGTGTAAGGTGTTTACTAATGTGTTTAAACTGCAATTTTCTCCAGCAGCCTCAGTGTTACTGTTAGTGTTTAACGCTGAAAACTACCGACTGTTTTGTTGTATTAAACAGTGGAGCTAATAAAGAACATCAGAGATAAACAATAAAAATAAGACCTCACATCACCGACAGTCACACAAACAAACAAAAACACTTTAACAGTGCAAACAGAACCAAACAGGACTGATAAACTGATGATAAAGTGATGGTGAAGTGAAACCTCACCCTGTCGTAATGCTGCTCCAGAAACTCTGCACTCAGCAGTTTGTGCCTCGTTAATAAATCCTGAAAAAGTAACAACAGTCAGGAAAACAATCAGCGTCTCGCACACATTCAACATTTACTACAACAAGCAGCCAGGATAAACGCCCCCTACAGGACTGATACAGTAACCCTAAAGAATAAGTTCAGTAATTCTCAAAAAGCTGGGCGACTCTAAAGCAGCTCTTCAGCTCTCAGTTCTGGTCCTGAAGCTCCTCCTGCTCTGCTGCAGTTCAGGAGGCGTTTGTTGGTGAGCTGCTCAGCTGTGTTGGAGCAGGTAAATCATTCATACGCAGTAATACCGGACACACCTGTTACATCAAATGATTCAGAAAACGATTCAAAAATACAAAACCTTCAGAATCTTCTACTGGAACATCTTCAGCTCTAATATTCACTGTAACTAAATTAATACAGAAAATCTGCACTCAAGACGCTCAGTCCAGCTTCAGGATTTAAAATGCTGGCAGATACATTTACATAACCAGCAATTTTACTACTAGACTAATTAAACAGTCATTCTAAATCAAAAAGTGTCACTAAACACTGCAATTCTGAATTAAACAGTGGAATTAACACTCATGTTGGTTAGTTTACACAAAAATACAGTAAAGCTTCTAATTTCTGTATTTCGTTGGCTGCTCCTGCGTTAAACAGCTCACAGAAATCACTCTTGTTAAACAGACGCGCTGAAGAACCTCGCGCTCACCTTGAAGGTGGCGAAAGCATCTGAGGCGATGTCGAAGGTGGACATCTCCACGTATCTGAAAAAGTCGTAGAAATGTTCGGACCACAGCGTGATTTTGGCGAGCGGCTCGTGACGGATACACTCTCTCAGCATGATCCCACAGTTCAGCGCGATTTCCGGAGACTCATACCTGCAGACACAAAGACT